TTTAATCTTTAAATATGTCTTAAAAGGGACAACAAATGTAACGAGATGACTAAGTCTGGAAAAGTATCGCGATACAAGCGATACATTGTAAATGTATATGTATCTTTCGCTCATAGTTATGAGCGAAAGATAAATGTGCATGCCTCTATTATTTTATGTATTGCGAGGAATGTGTGTAACAGCCCTATTTTGTGTATTTTGTCACTCGTTGAATAGATCCATTGTGACTTGAATTACTTGAAAAACTCTTGGCGTAGCACTGATAGTTCCGGTCCTTGCTTCGATCTCATCTTTGTAAAGGTGGAGGCCCTGCAGCACCCTGTCACCGAAGAGCTGGAACGCTAAACCAACTCTCATCTTCTCAAAGGCATTCGGCTGCAGGTGGCATTTCGTGATTCCATGCATAGCCTTAAATGTCAGGCTGCTAACGTCAATCTTGAATGCTTCTCTGACGCGGTGCATTGTTACCTAGATAAGTAAAAACCATATTGATATGAATTGGCCGGAAAAAGGAAAGATTTATTAAATTAGAGCTTAATTCGCCCTCTTGCACTGATACCGAATTATAGACGCTTTGCAGCAGCTGTGCATGGACGCCGCCATAACTGACCTTCAGTTTTTGTTTCCTCTTATTCCGTTTATTTCACTTCATCATTACCATAGCAGGCCAGGTAATCGCCATTCAAGATTCAACTGTGTCCTTTTCTAAAGCATCGGCCTTTGTAGAGGATTGTCAACTACCGTTTCAGTTGCTCGGCATCTCAGTAACACAAGAGAAGGTCAGCAATGGCGGCTGTAATTTGGCGCGTGTGTAAAGCGTCTATAGTCTTCAAGTAGTCTTGTTTTTCGGTTGTTCAAACTCACAATTTTATGACAAGAGAACTAAATAAGAATATGTCTTCTCTCTGCCTGATGCCAAAGAAGATGTAATGCAACAGCATTTGAATCCTTTGCCTGTTCAGGACGTGATCCTCACGTAATATCAATGTGTCAGATGACGTGATGACCCATTACAGTTATATAATTTTTTTAACTAAATTTAGCTCATATATTCACCAATTGAGTTTCCTGACTCTGCCAAATCTAGTAGGAGACGTCTAGAAATGCACTTACATGCCCCTCCGGGGTGTTAAATGGACATTTGAGTAGTCCGTTCCTGAAACATTTTATGAGGTGCGGGAAGTCTGCGACAAAGTGGATGTAGCGGCTTGCGTTCAAGGGGTGTTCCCCTTGCATTTTATGTTGCTTCATGTTCCGTCAACACCCAAGACTTTGCACATCCTTCGGTTCCAACCTGCGCCATCGCAGGTAATAAAGTCCACGAATAGACCACTTTTTTCAGCAAGAATGGCGGGATTGAAACGCGCGAGATCGAAAGCGTCGCTGTGGTTGGCCTTCCACAATTGGCCGAATGCTAACTATGACGTCAGCAAAGGATTTCTCATCCACAGAAATAAGAGTAATGTAAGAAATTTAATTCTGACGATGTTGGCAGTGTTGTTTCGGAGCGCAATGATCTTAAGTTTCCACCGTGCTCGTTACAAACATCATCGAACTTGTTGTTCTCAAGGAAATGACGTCACGAGAGAGAACAGTAGGAGGGCTCCATCCACCGTAGCTCTACCTAAAGCCCCTCTATCCTGGAAAAATTGGCGCCATTCATTTTTTTTTTTTTTTTTTTAAATGCTCGAGACACGTGCCGCGCGCCACTTCTGGGAAGAACATGGCGTCTGAAATCTAGCTCAGTGCTGCGATGCGCCGCCATGATATTCCCAAGGGCTGCACGTTGCGCGTGCCTCGTGCATCGACGCACCTTTCGCTACTTCTAAAATATGAAGGGGCTTTAGCTCAACCGAAACACCTCGCCGCTAATAGGGGAGCATTCACTGGCGGCCATAGCTGTGTGCGCGACTGCTGAACGCGTACTGAGCGCGAGCTTCCACAGTTCTTTTCCAACGTGCATTCCGCACCATCAAAACTGCCGGTTTTAGCAGCCTATTAATGCGACCTCATTCTGAGCATGCGCTCTAAACATCGCCCTAAAAATTGCATAAGCTGACAGTGCGTCAAAGCTACAGGCACGAGAGCACAGCTTTGAGACATTGTGTTTGGGCTTTAAAGGCCCCTTACAAAAAGGAGCTTTTGTAAATCGGTTCCTTACCTCCGAATTTCTTAGCGGAGGTAGACACTGCTACTGAGCGTGCGCACCGCTAGCTTTATTTGCAGTATTCCAGGGATCATTTCTGGTCGCCATAAGCTAGCGGGATGGCGGGTGAGGTTACACCTTTCACTATCATGTCAGCTTACATCTGAAGGGAGTACACCTACATTCTTTCTCATAAATACAATATATTATTTCTACCAAGACTCCCATAACGCCAGGGCATGAGAATTGGAAAGTAGTATTGCAGGACATTTTTTAAAACGTCAAAATTGTTTCAATTGTTTTCTTGACAAGTGTACAGGAAAAGTGAGGTGAAAGTGATTTGTAATGTAAGGAGTAAAGCAATCCTTCACTTTTCAGCGAAAATAGTTTGTAACGATAACCCATTACGCCTGAGGCTCGGTAATTTGTAATTGTAATCCATTACATTTTTCAAGTAACGAACACAAGTCTGCTGCTGGGCTTCGCGGAGGGCCGTCGCACTACCGGCAGAGGAAGGCCGTGGCTGGAACACGGAAGTTGGTAGTTATAACGTTCGGTGCTTAGATGGGTCTTCTTCTCTGTCGCGGTGTCGTCCGGAGCCCACGAAAGTAGCGGATCGAGCGAGCTCTCTGGGTAGACTGCCGCCCCGTCTCCCGATTTCGAACAAAGCAGCGCAGTTTCTCCGCAAAGTTAAACGCGTAACAGCATCAAAAGCATAGCGCGTCCCTCCGATCGCACTGGAGTACGCGTTTTCTCGGCGCTCCACCAACACCGCATGGTTTTGCCACTGACCGTAGGTTTGACACCCGATTTTAAACCATTTTTCATCGGAGAGAGTTTCCCGCCGTCGATGGATCACCTTTTCGGCGATTTTCCAACGTCTGTTAGCTCCTATGTCCGTTGAACAATTTCGCGGTACGACGCGGTTTGGGACTCCTGACGAAGAAGATTAGACATTCATCCCGATCTCGCGCCTGACGCCCAAACGTGCCTTTTTCTCTTAACTCGCGTTGTTGATGGAAATTAGGAAAGCAGAAAACCAAGCATGTCCAGCAACTTGGCGAGGGAGAGCGTCGAACTTGAAGCCCACGATTCGGCCGTTGAGAACACGAAATAAACCGGAAAAAAACAAACATGTAGTAGTCGCATCAGTGTTGCCAGCAGTAGGTGTTTTTCGTCGAAGCATCTTTATTACTATAATATGAAGAACGTGGAACGTAATTTATCTAATTTATTTATATATAGTTTTTAACAGGACACAACTGGAAAATTGCCCAACGTTTGCACACAAAGCACATCTAAAATTTTTCTTTTGCGAACTACTTCGTGATGCGTACGAACAGTATTATCCAAGTGGCGAACCGTCCTCCAGCCTTTGGCTGCGTTCGGAGCTATAAGCTTAAACAAAGTATAACTGCTTCGCGGTCTTAGATCCACTCAGTAATAATCGTAAATGGTACTCGCCTCAAAACAAGCTGCTCGAAGCTTCCACTGTCTTCGTGGAGTTTCAGAAGTGGAGCTTGCTGAAACTCAGTCGCGAGCATATGTAGTACAGGAACGGGCGAGGAAGACTGCTAAATGCGCGTTCACACCGGCAATCCGATCTAGTCGCGCGATAACTTTAATCGCAAAAGCGACCATCCCGGAAAAAAAGCGACCCGATTCAAGCAGTCGCTAGCTGACCCGACTTTCTGCGATGCGATCTAGTCGCATCGTGCAAAGGCTTTACATCGCCGGCGTACAAAAAAAAAAAAAAAAAATTCGTTGTGTGTATGTTATACAGCCTATAACTTCTGCCTCAGTGGATGACTTGTCTCCTAGCTGTAGATGAGAAATTTAGCTAGTACAGTAATACCGTTAACCCGGGGTCTTTAACGTGCATCACGCAGGAGTGATACACGACCTCATGCCGGTACCATGCTCACCGAGAGCGAAAGATATACGCGTAGTTTCACGAAAATTAGACAAATTCGATATTGCGAGAACTACCCGTCGTAGCGAAAAAAAGCTTGTGTCGTTTTCGGTCCTGGGCCAGGGGATCATTTAGGAAAATTAATAAAGTTTGGGATAATTAGGTTGTTCTTTGTGTTTGCGTAATTAACTTTTTTTTAATATTGTGTTTAAGGGCTTGGTTTCAACTAGAGAATTGTTGAGCATCATCGGAAAACACTAAATTAATAAATCGCAGAACGATAGAAGGCACGCGCGAAATTTTACGGCTTTCTGAAAAACCGCACAACTTCGACGGGTTTTTAAGTTTCGGTTTGCAATCGGAGCGCTTCTCGGCACCGACGGCACCGACGGCACCGCACCCCGTGGAGAAATAGTGCAACCAACCTCTGCTGCGCTGTTCTCGTGCAACGCAGCCCAGAGGCTGCTTGCACGAGAACAGCGCAGCAGTGTGTCCGATTTCACTTCGATCACATCAAAAAGAGGTGAAAGGTACATTAAGGCGGTCTGCGCAGGTGAGTTATACGAATATGGGGACATAATTCGTTAGCCTAATCGTAACTATAAATTCAATAATTAACGAAACTTTTTTTTTATCGCAGTTTTAATTAGTGACAATAAACGCATGGTTTTAATTACAAACTGCTGAGCGTTACCAAAAACCACTAAATTTGTAATCTTCGAAATACTTAAAGCAGTGTTAAGTATTTTGAGCTCCTAATACAAAAGAGGGGAGTCCTGTGTTTCAATCGAGCTACATACAAGTCGAAACTATCACAAATTACATGCAAACAGGACTTGAGTAATGCCGATCGAAGGCACAACGAGGAGACTTTGACCCGTGCTTTTTGCGTTTTTTTTTTTTTTTTTTTTTTTGTGTTATATTGATTAATTAACCGAGCAATCCACTGTTATAGGGTTTATTTCGCTTTCGTTCAGAGCTTGTTAACCTGTCCCATGAAGAAGATGTCATCCGTCCGAGTGTTGCGGATGAAGAACAGGAACGGATGGTCGACCCTGAAGACCACCGGCTCGGGTCCCAGGCTGTACGGGACTATGACCACTCCCGTGGCCGCGGCCGCCTCGGTGCCTTTTTCGTTGACCTCGACGACCGCCTTGTGTTCCACAGCTGACACCCGGAGGCTCTCGTCGTTGATGCCGGACAAGTCGGCGCCCGGTTCGAAGATCTGCTTGATGCCCAGCGACTGCAGGGGTGTCTTCAGGGAGTACTTGGTCTCCAGCTTGAACCTGCCAATGAGTACGAACGCTAGGAGGTCGCGCTATGGGGAAAACTGTCTCCAAATGATTACAAAGGGTCTAACGGTTTTCGTTATTTACGGACAAAAATCGGGAATTAATAGCGAGAAGTACTGTAAAAAAACGTTATATTTCGGAAGGGAAAAATGCTTTTTTAATTAGAAATAAGGAGTATGGCGTCGTCCTCCAAAACAAACCTGTGTAATTTTTTTTTTTTTTTTTGAGGGGGTAGGGTTTAAAATTACAGTAAAATAAAATCAAACAAGACTTTTCTTATGCTGTCTTCAAAACTGTTATGTTGTCTTCAAAACTGTAAATCACCCTGTAATGAACAACGTTATAAAAAAAAGCTCCATTCTTATACAGAAGTATCAAAGAAAGAAAAATTCAACACGTTTCTGGTATGTTATAAGCATCTGGAATGTTATAAGCGCTTGCGCTTTGTTGCTTGTTTGACCTTGGCGTGTACTTTTAAATGGGTGGTGGGATTGCTGAAGCCTAAACTGGCATGAATATCATATATGCCATATTTTCTTCATGTTTTTAGAAAAACCAAACTTAGACGTTAATATCGATGAAGATATGTTTCATGGTTGCATGTATCTTTACTTTTCTTTAAGTTTACACGAGCTAGACTCAGAACGACAAGCCAAAATTGCTAAACATATTTTGCTCACAAATTCGACGTTTGTCGTATGACTAATTGCACGACTAAATGTGTGATATCCAGGGTGTTTATGCTTAGACATTCAAACATGAAAAAAAAACAAAAAAAACTTTGGGAACAAACTGCCAGTCACGGCGGACGTCAGAAATTGCAAAAGTAAATACTAATTATAAAAATGTTTAATTAAAAAGTAACTACTTAACTTTTGGTTAAGTAGTTAATTGGTTCATTAGTTCCAAATGGAAACTTTCTGAGCCTCATCGAAAACCGCGAAATCAATCAATTTTGGGACGACCCGAAGCACGTGGGAAGTACCGGAGCGCGAATAGTAGTAGAGTTTTAGGGAACCGTTTCCCTACCTCCGATTCGGTACGGTAGGCTCTCCGGTACGGTATACGCCTTCCGGTACGAACTGCGCTTGCGCTACCGCAGAAGACCCCCACACGCGCTGTGCGACCCGCACGGCTCATCTTACCGTATCGGATGTGCAAAAAGAGTTCCCTAAAACTCCCTAATAACATTAGCTCACCCTCGCTCTTGCCACATGCTTCATGTTGTCACACAATTGACTGATTTAGGAGCTTTCGATGACGCTCAGCAAGTTTTTATTTCCAATCATTCGTTTTTTTTTTTTTTCTTATTTAAAGGTCAGTTAGTCGATTTCAGGTAGCTATATTTCTAATTAGTGTGTTGTCTGCAATCCCTGACGGCCGCCGTGGTTAGCAAAATCTTCCCGAAAAAAAAAACAATTTTTTTTTCAAAAACTACATTTTTTTTTAATTTTATGTTTTCACAGAAACACGATATATTAAAATAAAGAAGTATGATTGCTGATTAAATTATGTGACTTCGATTGCGCGTAGTAGCCAGACGTAACTGCAAAAGGTAATTTGTGTGGTACTACCAACCTCAAACCCCCGTTTAGAAGCTGTTATTTTTAGTTCGTTTTCTTTTTTATGTAATACCTCGCAGTCGGATTCTTCAAACGCTCGTCTGACAATTTAAAGTCCGGTAACTTCCTTTTTCAGTTCATGTAACGGTTTCTATACAATGTGACGCTACTTCAATTGAAGGTGCTTTGCTCCTCTAAAGCTCAAACACAATCTCGTTATTCTTCAGGTATTTTCATCACGTTTTGTCAGTGATATTTTTTTTCAATCTTATTTAAACGCTACAACAAACATCGCCCCTCTCGCTTTCTTTTTTTATTTTTTTCGGAGTAATTTATGTCACCTGTACAATAAGATAAATCAATCCACGGCGATTTTTTTCCCATTGAATCGAAGCAATGAATATAAAGTTCTACGCTCGGCTGTTAGTCAGCAAGCTTGGAGACCCAAAATACCAATTTTGAGCGGTACCACGGCACAATTCAACACAGGCTGTGCATCACTCTTGTACGTAACAGTGAATGCTGCTGCACATCGCGTAAAGGTAATGACATCAGGGTAAATGTCAAAATTACAAGATGTTCACAGTAGGTAGAGCTACACAACCAACTTCGTTCAGGGATCCTTATTTATATATTAATCAGGCTCGAACCTCGGCACGGCTATACTCACTTGGGAAGGAGTACCGTGATCTTGCGTTCCCTCAGATCAGAAAGGTAGTTTTGGAAACGGTCGATAGTAAGGTTTTGCTTGAGCCCCTCGACGCCGGTGTTCTCCTTGGGCAACAGGATGGCCATGGTGTAGTCGAGACCGCGGTAGGGCAGCTCCACGACCTCTACTTGCAAGTCATCGAAGAAACGGTACTTGATGCGGGCCTCCAGCCTCATGGTATCCACCTCGACGGGCGTCACGCCTCCGTTGAAGAACTGCCGTTTTTCCGTGTGCTCCTTGTTAAATGCGGTGCCCCAGTCACCCTTGAAGTAAATGGCGTTCAGCAATACGAGCAGAGTGTCCGAATCCAGCGGCTCATTGAACAGCTTTTCGATCTTGTCGTGCGTTTTCCTCTTCACCCAGTTGTTAACAAAGTCAACGGCGGCCTGCGATTCTCCGGCGAAGTCAACCTTATGGAGTTCGGCACCGAAGGAACTCTGCAGAGCGCTTTCGTACGAGTTCAGAAGTGCCAGGGTCCTCTGGATAGCGGCGGCATTCGCCACATCGAGCGTCGAATTGGAAGGGGTCGACTTCAATCGCTCCGTGTGGCGAGTGTAGGCGTCCAAGACCCCAGCATCGGTGAGATCAGCGTCTGAGAAGCCCAAACCTTGCGATAGTTCTTGCTGGGTTTGGCCTCTGGCTCCAGCGAAGGCCATGCCCATGGCGGTGGACACGCTGTAAGGCGAAAAGAAGACGTTCTCTTCAGGGCCGCTTGGCAGCGTGCGGAGGAGGCGCAGGCCGAAACGGTTGTTGGCTTTGGTAAGCTTGGTTTCTTCTTGAGCCCAGCTAAGGACCAGAAGAGACAGGAATGCTGCCAGAGTCTTCATCTTGAAATCTTCCTGTGGAAATGAGAAGCTCTAAATATCCAAAAACTTCTAACAATAGATCAGTTTCAAATCGACTTTCCCACTTTTGCATACCTCATTCCTCCAGTGTTTTTATTTTAGTTCTTACCTCCCGAGACAACGCCACCTAGACAAAAAAGGCTCCAGTGGTCCAGTTCAACATCATTGCAACGTTACGACAAGAAGGCTACATTGCGTAGCCAACAAGCCGGGACATAAATTGACCATGTTTGTTAGCAAATCCGTTGCCAAAGTATGTGTCTGTGGTTTCCTCTTGACACCCTCGCAGTAATGCGGTAAATTTTGTCTTAGAATATTGACGACATAAGCTGCTTGGTCAAGTTTCACTACGATGTTATTACGCTAACGCCCACGTATCAAGCACATGCTTTGGGACGCGGCACAACTGCAGAACGAAATTGAATGTACAGATATTCCAATTTTCTTGTGTCGGAAATCTATGGAAACTATGCGGGCATGCTAAACAACAAGACGACCTTCTTGCAAAAATGATAAGCGAGAAACACCATCAATGCTTATTCCATAGAGCACAATACAAACATATAGCAATTTAGTCGCTGCCTATATCATCAGAAATGTATTGCTCGATTTTTGACAGTGCCCTTGAATACTTTGAGTAAGGTCATTCAAGAGTAAGATCAGCAAGTAAGTGATGACTGTGATTAGTAACATGTCTTCGATGAACTCTCAATGTTTCCTGCATCATTAGTACCTCTACAGGTGTGGCCCGTGCCTCGGCAACTGTGCCCAGAGTCGAGGCACAAGCTCGCAGGCCCAAACAGCCACGGAGGCCACGTGCTTGAACTGCCCCAAGAGGTATTACGACGGAGTTGCTGGCTCCCCGGCGATGTTGTGGCTTCGAACAATTTAACAAGCACACGCCAGTGTTCTCGTGGTAAAGAATGCGTTTTAATGGAAAATAGCCGTTTGACTCAGGAGGCTTCGTTTAAAAATGAATCCAAAATTTATTTTTGGTAATTGTAGTTAGAATGCAAAGCTATAATTGTTCGTTAATTCAATACATTTGGTTTTCTATTAATCGCATTCTTTCCGAAATCAGTAAGCTTCTTATCTAAAAGAGTAATAGAGCACTAGCCATTTTTTCCCAAATACCTCTGCGTCAGTACGTTCAAGTATTTTTTTTCTGCGTCGGCACATTTATGCAAAATTCTTTTTCTTCAGAGTGGGTATATTAATGTACAATTTCTTCGCTGATACGCCGCTTTACCCAAGCACCGGTCGACCCACTCCTCGTGACGTCATGGGCCAGGCGCCGATGCCTTGTCTCGCTTAGGTTGTGTTGTTCAAAAAGCATGTACCCCCCCCCCCCCCTCTCCCCCACGGGGCGGAGAATATGTACACATGTGCGCACGGTTTTAATCAAGCATATCTCTCCTTCAATTTATCTTCCTCGCAGAAAACCAGAATTGTATAATAATACAAAAAATTAAAGACTCTTCGCCATTGGGTTTTTAATTGTACCCACTCGTTGACGCTTCGGTTTATACACAGTCCGGCGTTATATCATTAGTGTGGTAGGCTCTCCTGTCCTTTTCAATCAGCCAATAAATATAAATTGCCGAGTCGTAACACTAGCAATCATAGCTTACCGACCAGGGTTTTCAACGTGAAGGTGCCGTCTGCTCCAGGGTGCTCCGTCGAACGCCCAGTTTATCCCTGCTAGCTCCGAAAGCGATGATCGCAGCACATTTCTATCTGCCCGTGCGTACGTTTTTCCTTTCGCGCGAATTGCGTCCCGACACGAAAGAGCGCAATCGCCGCCGTTTATTCAGCGGTTCTGCTTTGGGAATCCCCGACACAGATCTCCGCCGCCAAAACTGGTCAAGGGTACTTTTTCATTCTTTGTTTCTTTCTTTTTGTACACACGTCCGTAGCGTCGCCACTTTCGACACGCGCACCGTTTCGCGGCCTCATAACGTAATCCGTCGGGCGCCGTACTGACTGACGTCACTAGAGGTAGCCTCGAATAAGCTCCGCTTCTCTTTATTGACTTAGGTTCGCACTTTTCCATCCAGCTCGCCAACAAAACAAACAGAAACTAATTTTAATACTACGCTATATTCTCACTTGTACTCTAATTGCAACAACAAAACTACACGTTTTTTTTTTTGTCTGTGTTTATTAAGTTCCGACACATTGAAGAATTATCAAGAACATATATAGAAAAAAAACACGCGATTTGGACACGTACTGTAGCCGCTTCTTCTATTCCTCTGCATATTCACCACACGGACTTGCGCAATTCTCTTACCATGGCAAAAAAAAAAAAAAAAAACTTTCGGATGTCCTCCTTAAAGAAGGTTGCTCTCTGCCTGTGTTACGACCCACGACTCACTCCGCCACGCGTTAAACAAGGACATTTGTCGCCACAGACATTCTTTCCTTCTACCAAGAACTTCTCTTCGTCCGGCCCTATACTGAATGCAGACGTCGAAGCGCATTACATGTCTGACAACATGACGCTCTTGTGGATGCGTGATGGACTGAATGACTGTGGACCATGTCGGTAACCTTCTTTCAGGAGGGCATCCAAAAGGTTGTGCCACCCATAGAGTTATTAGAATGTACGATAGAGGTTCAACTGGCGCTAGTGTCTATGCGACTTCCGGGAGGCAAGTTACAGCAGACAGCAACCAGTCTACTTTTGCGGTGCTCCTCTGCATTCATATATGGGAAAACGCGCGTGCATTTCGTCTTTTCACCGGAAAATAACCTAGAACAGATTGGTTATTTGAGTCGTACCGAATAGTATGTACCTTTATCAACACTGTAAAAGTGTACTTGCTTTAGTTAGCGCCTTTTCTTCAGCAATGAATGATGTTTCACTTCGCTATCTTTCAAGCACAAACCTCTGTTCCACAGCAGGTTATAAAAACAAGCTACGATTCTGAGCAAAATACCAATCGTGTTGAAGGCTCGCCAGCATTCCGGTGACGCTCATATATTGCTAATATGCCAGTCTTGTCACTTTATGTAAATGACCCCTTCTTGCATCTTTACGACCGGTTAAAAACATTCAAAACGTAAATGACAAAGTACGTGCGGTATGAAAAGCGTCTCGTTCCAATATTTTCTCTGCCGGGCACTCTTTATCGGGCACTTGTTATCAAAGATTTCGAGCGTGCGGGGGGTGTTTTGAACGTAGAGCAAGCATATATTCGCACAGAGCAGAAAGAATAAAGCGGTACTTATTGAACATATGACTATATTACCTAACATTCGTTTTATTTTGATCGTACATGCGGAGGGAGTTACTCATCCAGTGTTATTGCGTAGTCTTGCCGTCTCAGTTCTCCAGATGTCTTTCGTTTGTTTGGCACGTATATCCCACATGCCGAAAAGCGCCGACGTCGTGTTCGCGCTAACAGTGTCCGACAGTGCACACAAATAGATGTACGAAGCCGTTTTAGCCACTCTTTTGATGCAATTAATTTGAAAAAAAAACACCTCGTAACTGATCAATTATTTCGTCTGCATGACTGAGAAATGTTCCAAGCTACCTAGTACGTATGAATTATTCGGGATATTTGCTCTTATAACCGAGCGCAAGAAGAAAATGCACTCACTTTTTCCCAAAGAAATGCATTACCGGAAGTCAGTTTTCGACTGGTTGCTGTCTGCTTCAATTTGCAGCGGCACACTAGCGCCCGTTGGACCTCTAGCGTACATTATAATAACTCGATGGTGCAGTTTAATAATAAGTGACTTTATATGCTAGGTATGAAACTAGCTGTTGAGTGTTTCTGAGTTAGTGTACATTAAAAACATTCCTCGCTTTTATTCTTTTTTCTTGTTCTTTTTTTGACCCGATGTATTGAATTTTAGAAAAAAAAATAAAAGCTAATGGCCCTTTTCTTTGTCCTTGTTTTCTCTTGGAACCACTATACGAACGAAGCCCTTGCAAAGTACTAAAAAAATGTGCGCGAGCGGACAATTTTCGCTTAGGGGCGCTATTCTAGCGGCCATCTTTTCCACCCGCTAATCTGGCGAAATAAGCGAGTGCTTACTGACAGTATACTACAGGGATATTCAAGCAGACGCCAGGCTCTTTAAATCGACCGCAAAATTCGGTTTCTTAACCTATCGCGCTACGATTTTTCGCAGCGTTGCCCCCAAATGGTGCATTTTTTTTTTTTTTTTTAATTTGCGAAGAGCGAACTTACCTGAGGAAAAAGTAAAGAAAGTAAAAGGCTTAGCCCCAATGGAAGCGCAGGGACGCCACCGGTCTTCAAACAATGCGGCGCCGTTTCGCACGGGATACAAGAGATGGCGCAAGCAGTCGCGACGCCAACTGCCGCCAACGAACGAACATTTTAGCAGACAAGGAACTGCACTTCCTTGTTGTTGTTTCTGCGACTGCTGCGGAACGCGCGCCGCATTTGAGTGGAAAAGATCGTCTGCTAAACACGCCGGCTCTCGGCGCCGTATGCTTGTTCGTTGGCGAAGTTGGCATCGCGACCGCTTGCGGCATCTCTTGTCTCCCGTGCGAAACGGCGCCGTGTTGTTTGAAAACCCGTGGCGTCGCTGCGTTTCCATAGGAGCTAAGCCTTTTCCTTTCTTTACTTTTTCCTCAGGTAAGTTCGCTCTTTGCAAATTTTACAAAAAAAAAAAAAAAAGCACCATCTGGGGGCAACGCTGCACAAAATCGTAGCCCGATAGGTTAACAAACCGAATTTTGCGGTCGATTTAAAAGCCTGGTGTCTCCTTGAATCACCCAGTAGATAAAACACACTCGGCAACTAGGCAGGCGCTTTACCGCACCCGTACGCGCCTTTCTCCACAAGGGCGCCGCCATCTTGAACGTCGTCACTTCCGGTATGGGTGAAAACCTTGTTTTGCCGTATCCATGCCAACAGAAGAAATTCAGGATACAAGCGTACCCACTCACCTTTTACCTCATCTATTTTTTTTTTCTTCTTTTTTTTTCACTATTTGCAGGTTGAAATGATTTATGTTTTTTTTTCGTCGCCCCTATACCGGATATGTCTATCAGGTGGCTGGACGTGAGAGTAAACCAAAGAGGTGTATAGACCTTTTTCGTTTACTCTCCACCCCAGCCACCTCCTGGTAAACATATCCGCGGTGTGGGCGACGAAAAAAAATATAACATTTCATCCTGTAAATAGTAAAGATAAAATAAAAATAAAAGCGAGGCAAAACGAGAATGGGTGACGCTTACGCTTGTACCCCGAGTGTCTTGTATTCGCGTGGCTACGGCAAAAACAATATTTTCACCCGTACCGGAAGGGACGACATAATCAAAATGGCGGCGCGCCCTAGTGGGAAAGAGGTGGAATACACCTTTCCAGCACTTATCGCATTGACAAAAACAAAATGCCAATTCACTGGGCTCTGTACGCATGCGCGGAGTCAGACTTTTCCGCGGAAAAGAGAGTTGTACTCCGTGCCACTCATGACGCCACGATCTGCAATCAAGCAGCGCCAAAAGTGCGTCGTCACGGCGATCGTCGTATTCGTGCTTTCGATGTCATCGACTAAATCAATCGCGCGCATAAACAGAAACCCATAGAAAACGCAAAATTGCGGCACTTTTTTTTTTTTTTTTTGCGTGATTGATTTAGCCGTTCATAGCGTAACAACAACAAAAAAAAAAGTCAAGGAGCGCCATTCTGATGCGCTTTTGGCGCAGCTCGAGATTGGTTCTGTCGAATAGCAGCGTCGGCTTCGGTCCGACTTGCACGTGAAACGGGGCGTAGTGCGCATTCTCAGAACGCGTACCGCAACTCGGCAGACAAAGATGGCGCCTCGGAGAATACCAGTACTGTCGAGACCGGTTATAACGAAGTCGGGTATAACGAAATAGCAGCTACAGCGAAGCGATCACGATTTCTCATTCCCTTTCGCACTTTATTATAACCGAAGTCGGACATAACGAAATAGCGGCTACAGCAAAGCGATCACGATTTCCCATTCCCTTTTGCACTTCGTTATAACCGAAGTCGATTATAACGAAATAACGGATATAGCGAAGTGATTTCGTTATAAGCGGTCTCAACAATATTGAAATGGGACCTTTTTTTTTTTCTTTTCGGGGTTGCGGTGAACTTCGTTCACCACTAAGCTGGCTACTGCAGTGGAAGCCATAGGCGGTCCTTGTTGGACCGGTCATATGCGCCTCTATTTCGCCACGTCATCACGCTCCCGCGCCGATATACCCACGCGCGGAGAGCCGGATCAGGTGACACGAGGGAGGGCCGCTCATTGGTCCGGCGGGCGCGAATAGCGCCCACTGCAGTCTCAAAATAGGTGGTGAAGCGGGTGTAGCATAGATGCGGCTGTCCGCCATTTTGGTGGCACTTACGGGACAGTATGCCGGTCGTCAGTAACAGACTGCCGATTCTGAGAGGCAGTGCTTGCGTTTTAATGCGGAGTGAAAGTCCTCCTGCTTCTTTTGCATGGGTTTTGGTGACGTCAGAACGCCGACCTCCGATTGGTTCCGATTGGAGGATGGTAGGTCAGCGCCTTTTCGCGGCGTGAAACAGCAAGTCAGCGAGGCTAGTACAATTCGCAAAAAAAAGGTCCCGAAACATTTCGGAAAAGTGTAAACACATCGGAATCTATATTGACATCCCACCCTGTCGCGAAAATTAAAACTCGCGAATTATTCCAAAACTTCAGCTTTGACCTAAATCGCGAAAAATTGAGCAATCGAAAAATAAGTCGTTTACAGTATAGCGTTTCACGTAGATGGCTGCCGTAAGTTCGCCATCGCTTTGATTATTCAAGTTTGATTTCGCGCAACAAAAACGGGGTGAATATACTTGAAATCTAAATGAAAAATGATAGATATTACGAACTTCACAGCACACAATTTGCATACACAAACTAGTATTTAGGACAAACGGAACATACACAGCGCGGTGTGTTTGCTATGTATTTGTCCTAAATAAATGCGTGTGTATGCTATTTGTGAGCTGTGAAGTCAGTAATATGTTCCATTCCAACTCGCCCAAGCTGCAGTTTTGACGGAATTAGTAGAATTCAGTGTATTTTAAAATAGGCACGTAACGTTTTCGAAGAAGGCCCATTGTCTATATCTGCTCGTATTCCGATCTAGAGTTTGGGCATACGTCCCGTCACGTCACGTCACGAGTTGCTGAAACAATAGCTCTGAGGGTGCGCTCCATTTTCCCGAATGCATGTCCTTGTGTAGAAAGTAGAGTTTGGCATACGTGTACTATTACTTTGGGTATGTTACGTCTCGTGTGCATTGTTAATTAGTCACCGCATTACCAGCTAACTTGTTCTCAACCTGCGGGGCAGCAGTCATTTCAAGTCTCCTGGAAGGAGTCAAAGGGAGGCACTACAATTTTCTTAAATCCTTCAGTAGAGACCATATGGGGCATATTGTATCTAAAACGCCCAGTCACTTTGTACAGAAACAGTTATTCGTAGTATTATATGCCAAACACTGCGTTGTCAGCTAAAATTCACCTACAATCGAGTTCTTTTGTTCTGCACGCCTCTTAAAAAGAGATCGCATAAAATAAGTAAGCTCTAATCCGATAAAAAGGTCGAAGCGTATACGCACCTGAGGATGAGCTCTTCGTCCCTTCCGAGGAGTTGAGCGGAATGCTTCGAGCGTTGCCTATTTGAAGGCGTCCCGCAAATAACAAACCTTGGAAAAAATAGCGCACAACGTAGAACGGCGGAATGGAAACGGAGGGCGGAACTCGAGAACTGTCCCAGTTTCCGCAGCCCGCGCCAAGGCCAATGCTGCCCCAGAGCATTCCTCGGATGGTCCCTTCCCATCTTTCGCCGTCTGCTTCTTTTCTTTTTTTATGTTGTTTGTTTTAAAGATGGACTGAAGTGAAGGCTAAAGCACAGCTGATCCAACTATCTGGCATGAAAAAGAAGCCCCACAGCCGTCGTCGGCCCGATTCACCAATCAAAAAGCCATCTATCAGCCGTCTTTAAACTCGCTGGACCAATCGAATGTTCGGAATGAACCAAGACGTCACGCATTCCTAGACTTCCACACGTAAGGACGTGTCTTCCCCCGCGGTAGCCCGCGGTCCAGCTCACGGCGCAATCGCTGGAATAAGCGACTCGTCTGACTCGTCTTCCGAGCCGTTCGCGGTGTCATGTTCTTGCGCGTCGCGTCGGTGAAAAATAATCTCTTAGAAACGCGCCCGTTTTTTGTTTCTTTTTTTCATTTTGTTCGTTTTTTTTTTTTTTTCGAAACTTCCAATCGCCATGGAAGAAATATGAGGTTGTAATGGGGATCCCTCGCATATCGGACTTCATTTAGACATGACCGTCCTAGAGAGGTGAAAATAAAACTGACGTTACTTCCCCGTTTAACTCGCTCCCTCCACACAACTAACTTTCTCTCAACCTGTGAGAGGGGGAAAATGTAGATTTGGATGGATGGATGGATGGACGGATGGATGCTAACGACCGCACCTTTTATACCGGGGGTAGCTTGCACCACCTAGTTTAAAAACGAAAAAGAACCAGAACAAAAGGATGGCTGAATCCCTCGCCGTCGCAAGTTAAATTTCCTTCCCCTCATACGTTTTGAGACTATCACGAGGCAGTTATCGCCAGGCTATTAGGCGAGAACGAATGAAGTCGGTATTTAAAAAAAATATAGCAACCATTTTTCAGCGGATTTTAGAAAGTCAAATTACTCTTGGTCATCCCAGCAAGATCGCCTGATGATGAAAACTTTTGTATCAGATGGGATATATTCAAGTAAAATGAATAGATATCTAAATATAAGGGATATATTTGAATATATTACAAAAAAAAGCTGCGTTTTATGTTGTTGTTTTTTTTTTCTTCTTTTTTTTTTTACATATGCGACTTTACCTAGCAGGTACATAAACATGAAGAGCACTACACCTCCGAACTTGTATTTCAGTGAAACTTCATTTAAATACATTATTTTTGGTAACCCAGTTTCACCTACCACGAGCGATTAAACAATAAAAGTTTTAAGATAAAAAAAACGTTATTCGGCCCACTCATTGAGGTGATTGACATTAAATTAACTCTTTATTGAGATCGAGTGCTATGAAGATTACCATCGAAAAGTATTTGAGTGACCTACTATACTTGTCTTAAACGTAGATAATGGCGGTGACAATAGCGTACTCTTAGGTAGGCTGCAGTTAAGGCCCGTTCACACTCTTGCAACCGAATAGGTCCGGAAGAGACGAGATCTGCTAAAACTTCTTAAAATTTCTTAAAACGAGGGAACACGCTGGCATTCTGGCGCCATCTATGCGGTGACCCTGGAACTGCATTTCACAAGAGCGAAGGTTTTGCGGGATTTCCGATGTAAAATGTGCGTGCTACCTATAAGAAAGGCTCGTTTATAACGTTCACAAAAGTTTTGCGAGCCAAAAAAGAAAAGATAATGCGCGAGAGAAATAGAAAATATGCCGGACTGCCAAGTTTACACTGCTACCCAATAGATGGCGCCAGTGTGTCCTCTCGTGGTAAGAGGTTTTAAGGAACTTAGTTTTAAGAGGTCGCAAGAGTGTGAACGGGCCTTTAGTGTCACAGTTTTCATAAAATAAGCTGATCAGGAAAACATTCTTGACTACCAGATGTCCCATCCTATATACTTTTTCTCGCCTCAAAGTGAACCAAGCTGAACGCCACGTACCATCCCAGCCAGTGCAGCGTCACGAACGCGTCACGTGATTATGCGATTGCTGCAGCCAATCACAAAGTGCGCGCGGTGACGTGGGCAAAGCACGGTCCTCGTACATTGTTCAGTTCGATCTCAGAGTCTATCGTTAACACTTTCATTTTATTTATATTTATTTTGTGTACAGGGGTCGATCTAGAAAACGAAGCGCGATTTTTCGGTTAGCGTAAATAGACTGCGCATAGCAGAATCCAGAAACTCCATGAGAATGTGACTCTAGCGTTGGTGATAAAATGCGAAAGTGTGACCGCACGGCGTTACCTGGATCAAAACGTACAAAACCAAGAACAAAATTTCTCTCCGAGCTTACGTCCACCAAAGCCTAAGATTCATCAAACGGAAACTTTATACTGCGGCGCCTGCCCCCTTTCCCCCTCCGGCGACGCCCGCCACGAGAACGGCGGCCTAGCACGCTCTCGTGAAGCGGCCGCCAATGGCTATCCTGGAGCCGTTTTGCTCAACCAATGGGAAAATGACATGGGCTTTCGGGTTTTCTTTTTCTTCCTTTTTTTGCTAGGCAGTAACATTCCACGTTATCAAATGACAGACGCACAAGGCGTGTCCTTTAAGTCATCCTGCAGGATCAATACCGTCGCCCGGCTAGCTCAGTCGGTAGAGCACGAGACTCTTAATCTCGGGGTCGTGGGTTCGAGCCCCACGTTGGGCGCTGCAATTTTTTTTTTTTTTTTTTTTTTTTTTTTTTTTTTTTTTTTTTTTTTGCGGTCAAAGCATTTATTGCTAGAGTCTTGTCCGGGAAACCTATTTACAGCATAACAAAGGGCACTAAATTCATCTCATTTTGTGATTATGCAGTTTACTATAACGAGAAAAGATTCAAGTTCCGATATTGTTTAATTTGGCACACTATGCGTGCTACTTATACATATTTTTACTGATTATTCCTGAGACGGAAATTGCGGGGTCTGGGCCGTGGATCTGTGCATGGCATCGGATATTTTGCGGAAAGGACACTCTGCGCATGCCCAAAACGAGTTTCACAGCCCAGTAGACAAAGACTGTAGCGCGTAGAAGGCGATCATAGACATGGTCTAGTCCGTAGAGGCTGCCATACGAACAAGTGGTTCTCGTTAGTATTTTTTATCTAACAATTTACTTAGCGAAACGAATAAGCCCAGTGTCTATTCTTTTGGCGCATCGTGCTCACCATACCGAGACATGCCATGTATTCGTGTCGAAATATTCACACGTAGCCGTTTCCCAATCCACAGCTTCCTCGATGCCGGGAAGGCCTGCAAAATGTTCACCGGAAAGAACACGTTTCCCGGACACTTCGCCTTCACCAAACGCGTTTTGAAATTAGATTCGCAGAGTGACTGCCACCGTGGTACGGCGCTAGTATTGCATATGGCACTTGACGAGAATCTACATTACGGAGAGCTTCCAATTGCTCGACGGGGTCACGTGGTTTACCGGCCGCGTTTGCAATACGAGCAGCGTGGAGGTGGTAAAAGCGTTGATCATCTACAAGCGTCCTCGCCTTGTCGTCTGCTTCCTTCCTCGCCACGCGACAACGACGCGCAGGCGCAGTTTCGAACAATCCCCACAACATCGTCCGCCCATAAATTTCAAACGCTTCCCGTGGCTTAAGACGGATCGTCTCTTCAATCTAGGCTCTGCAGTCGTTAACTTTCTACTTTTTTTTCAGCAATATTTTTAGTAATCAATTATAAACACCAAGCTTGCCTTGACAATTAAATTTCATAAAGTCATCAAGTTGCAGACAAGAAAAGAAGAGAAAGTTGTTAATTGCCTTTTAGATTATATAAAATGCACCAGGAAACGCTTAGGCATCAAAAGAACGAGGCTGTTAAGTTTATAGATTTGGACGAAATTTTATTATTTAAAACCGAGTGTACGTATCTCCAAACCACCAGCGATGCCAACTCCTCGAGTTTGCTTACTTTACATTTGGTATAGCACGAGGGCCCCAAGCAGCTTAGTACTGTTCCCCACGCAATGAAATTGAGGCACTCTCTAATCAGGACGCTAGAGATCGAACCCCAACCCAAGAAGCATGAGCATCTCAAGTGCCGCCCTACTTTTTTTTTTTTTTAAGTTGTCAATGACTGCAGCGTGGAGAGCGCGGGGATATGGCAGCCACCTGGACACAGCTAAACCGATGCTCAAGTCCATCGAGATGTTGGAAAACTAGACAATATCGACTCGTTCGATCTCCACATTATTATTGAAGACGATGCAAAAAATCTGACTTTGACCACGGGAACCAAAGAATCATGTGTTTAATGCACACTTGCACTCTCTTGCAGATCATGCGCAACATCCCGTAAAGAAAGTTTAACAAAAAAAATGACATCCTACACGCTCCACTGCCTTCTCTCGTCTTTAACGAGCGCATTTCCATTTGGAACTGGCCCAACTAGAGTGCGTTGATATGTCCCACGAACAGAATGTCATTTGTATTTGTGTTACGGATGAAGAACAAGAACGGGTGGTTAACCCTGAATTCGACCGGCGGAGGCGGCAAACTTATGGCGACTATTCCGATGCCGGTGGTCGCCGCTGCTACGCTGCCCTCTTCGTTGACTTCCACGGCCGCCTTGTGAATCACGGTCGACACCGCCGACAGGTTATCGGTGGTTATGCCCGACCAGTCAGAGCCACTCGTGAAGATCTTTCGGATTCCCAAGGTTTGCAGGGCTTCCTTCAACAAGTACTTGGTATCAAGTTTGAACCTGGAAGAAGCGTTTGGAAATGTATTAAAGCTATTGCACATTGGTAGCTTTCATGCGACAGACAGTACTTTTGTGCGCCATATATTCAACAAGAAACTGATGATTTCGGAATTTTTCATTTCGCGCTCAGATTATCTATCGATTGCTAAAGCTGGTACGGACGAGCGTTCCTCTGAAACTCGCGTGCAATAACCTCTCTACCTCAATGGGACCTTTGAACATAAATGTAAAGTTGTCTTACAGAGAGGTACTCATGGCACAATATACCGACAACAAGCATAATTGAGCATAGGACGACCTTTTCTAAGACAGAATGGTTCCGTACGTAATGATATTGTACAAAATGACTGAATGTATTTTTTTTTTTTACGGTGCAATGTCTTTTATAGTACTTTTTCACCTACTTGTGAGAGTCAACATACGTTACAATGTTTTGGCTGAACAAGAGACGCAGGTTTGATTATACACGTCAACATTTCTAGTTTTTTTCCTAACTAAATCCACTATGTTTCCAGACTAAGCGCGGAGTCAATGTGAATAACATAAAGCCGGTATCTTTCTGAAACCGCGTTGGCGCGCATGTCGAGTAAAATCTCAGGATTTTGAAAACTTCCCAGTGTCAACTGCCCAGTAACCAAATGATTTAGCTTCAGTTGTTTGAAAGAAGTCTCGATAACTCCTTTTTTGTTTCTTCACTACGCCTTATAATATGTGCACTTACTTTGGGAGTGCAACGTTGACCTTCCGTTCCCTGAGTCGAGAAACCATGCTTTGAAAGAGTTCCGCAGTAAGGTTCCTCTTCAGTGCTTCAAGGGCATTGCTATGTCTGGGCAGCAGGATGCTCATACTGAAATCAAGTCCCCGGTACGGAAGCTCCGCCATGTCCACTTGCAGGTCTTCGAAGTACCCATAAGGGATATTGAAGGTTCCCGTCATGACATCCACTTGCACGGGTGCGGTACCGCCGTTGAAGAACGGCCCCTTTGCAGTAAGACTCGCGTTGAACTGCCTGTTCCAGGCGCCCTTAAAATAGATTGCATTCAGCAACATCAGTCTCGTATTCGGGTCCAGCTTGCCATCGATGATACCGTCGATCTTATCCTGTGTCCTCTGCCGTACCCACCCGTTGATGAATGCAACAGCCGCATCAGCTTCGTTGGCGAAGTCCACGTTCAGGAGTTCGGAGTAAAAGGACCTACTCAAGGTCCTCTCGTAGGAGGCCAGAAGCGCCAGTCCTCCATGCACCGCAGCAGCGTTCGCAACTTTGAGAGTTGAGTTAGTTTGAACCAACAGGATCCGACGCGTGTGCTGGGCATACGCATCCAGGACCTGCTCCTCCGAGAGACCGGCGGCAGAAAACTCAAGCCGCTGAGATAGCTCTTGCTGGGCCTCACCCCTGACTCCAGCGTAGGCCATAGCCATTGCTGTCGACACGCTGTACGGCGAGAAGAAGACATTGCTGTTAGGTGTGCTTGAGAGGACGCCGAACAAACGAAGGCCGAAGCGGTTGTTGGCCAACGTCAGTCTGTCGTCCATTTGAGCCCAAGAAATGGCGAGGATAGAGAGCAAAAGAACAAGGTTCTTCATTTTCATGCTGCCCTGCAAATATTAATATAGAAGGCTTTAAAGTACAAACCGCCCGGCTGAGGTAAAGTTAGCGTTGTTGCGTTTTCGCTTCAACGAGATAGTAATATTGGGTGTGGCCGCACTATTAAGGGCATATATTTGGAGAGTGAATTAAATTGATTGAAATAAACCTATATTTTCAGCAAACAATTAGCACTTTCTGCCGGGTTCATGATGTATAAAACTTCTTTCTCGAGTGTGGTTTATCAATGAGGCACCTAGTACATTCTTTGTTTTAATAAAACAACTTTAAATACCAATCAAATAATAAAAGGAATATGTCAGATGGCCCCATTTCGGTAACTCTGAGAACAAAAATTAATCTTTCCTTTTTGCCAATAATGAGTTACAGTTTCAACATAATTAATCCACCTTTAAACATGGGTAGACACAGGACACATACTGAAATATACGCTTACCTACTTGAAACTTCGTTGTTCGTAGTATCTGCTCTGTCACTGCGCGGACAGCTCAGACACCAAGACCGCGTTCACGCGGACTGACCTCACCAGTTCGCTGAGCCCTCTTGTTTATGAGATTATTTATAGTGCCTCGCGCAATCTCGTTTAACGGCAACCCAACGCTTCAGATCTGTGAAATCGGAAAACGGGCTACGGTTTCATAAGCACGTGACGGACGCAGATGGTAGATGCTGTCGACTGCTACAATTATTAAAAACAGCGCGAAGAACACAAGAACTGAAAGAAGGAGGTCAGAGACACTGTGCTGATAGTCGAATGCATATCGCTTTTATATTGCATTATACGTAAATGTGAGTAAAGTAAGACCTGGAGAGGGACAACTACTCCGTCAAGCCATCCCATAACACAGAATAGTCACCCAAGTGATAATTCTGTGATATAACTTTATTTTATTATTTATAATAATTTCATTCAGAACCATAGCAAAGGAGCATCACTATAAATTTGGCGTAAGTTTTCTTAAAAAATAATTGTAAATTAACAAGAAGTGAAGAAACAGTCCTTTCTTAAATATTGTTTGTCTTCACAAACACCAAAGTGGTCTCAATGGTTGAACTTCAAAATGATCTCTTTGGGTGCCTCAGAGTGACAGCCTGCCCTTCGTTTACTTCGCTTCACCTTGCGTTCGACCACAGCGGAAGCCACCTGCCACCTCAGCCAATCCGGCTGCTCTATGAACGTTGCACGTGATACGCTCTCCGTCCGTCTCTGCACCCCCTCACCAGGGCCACGTGACACCCACACGGACTGGGATTGACTTCGATGGATCGTAGCTCCCGCTGCGGTCGGTCCCCGGGTTAACTGTCACTGAGCTGTGGACGCATGCGCAGCGTCTGATATACCGCACAGCAGAGCAGCAGCGCATGCTCAGATGGCGTTCCACAGCCCAGCAAACAAAGATGGCAGCTCGCAGGAGGCGATTTTTGCAGAAGAGGAAGAGGCCAGTAGTATATACTTGAAGAGGAATCTCATGGACGATATATGGAAGTCTTTAAGGCGTCTGTGAGATTCCTCTTCACGTGTATTCTCTAACGCGCAAAAGCGTAATCTGAATCGGATGTCGGGGACCACTTTGGTGTTCAGGGGCGCGGAAAGAATGTAAGGTTCCTTCGTAATCTAAACCACGAGCAGTGTAATACACGTTTCTCAAAAAAAGAAAAAAAAAAGAACGAAAGCTCGTTCCTCGTTCCTTCTGATTTTTGGAACGCGTTCCCGTTATAAGTTTAATCTGAGGGAGGAACTCGTTCCCGTTACAAGTTTCATCTGAGAGAAAGGAACTCTTTCCCGTTAGAGTTAAAAAGTGGAACGTATCGTTACATACACGTTACCTTTGTATTCTGCTGATTACCATGCTTACTTAGATTCAGCGAAGTTTTCTTCTTTTTTTTATCTACCCCGTCAAATGGAAACATACGATTTTGAATGCCGTGAGGGAAGGGAACCAGGAGAAGAAAACAAGCGGAAACAGGGTTTTGTTTCTGATCCTATCAGGAACGTAATTTCTTGTTTTTATATATCGATACCTTTTATAATTTGGTATACTTCTTATTACAATTTTTCTTTCAGGTAGCACAGTTCTTCGGGTCGACATTTGTTTTTGTCCGGGGATTTAGGGCCTTAAATTGCCCGCATAGGCCAAGGGTAGAGCCAAACTAGACCTTCTTTGGCCAGACTCTGAGTATCTTAGCGCCAATTCCTCAAACAAGTGCCAAAGCTACGATGATAACGCAATTAATGCAAAGTTGCAAGCGGGCTAGACAAGGACAAAACTACTGACGTCTAAATCCTGCTTAGCTCAGTTGATAAAGCGCTCCACTGAAAATGGAGACGTCCCTTTCAATACCAAAACAATGTGGGTTTTTTTCTCAGTCTTTTTCCAGTATATTTTTAGTTGTGGCTGAAGCTTTGCGTTTGTCCCTTGTTCCTATTATTCCCCTTCTCCGGGGATTCTTGTTCAGCTCGCTTGTACCTTTCTATTCATTGCATTGTCATTATAACCTTAAGATGCAGGCCGTCAACTCTTGTTGGTGTTAGACTGGTGGCAGCTGTTAAAACCCGTTTGCTCTACTGACGTCTAACTCCTGGTTAGCGCAGTTGGTAGAGAGCTCCACTGCAAATGGAGAGGTCCCTGGTAGGATACCAGGACCAGGCAGATTTTTTTATCAGTTGCGCACCAGCCATCTAGTTGTGTTTGGACATTTGCGTTTGTTCTTTGTCCCCCTTGTTCCCCTTCTTCAGGAATCACCATCGGTACCGAAGTCGGACTTCACTGCTTGTAGTTTGGCTGTCATTTGGAATCTTTGAGCATAAATTTCCAAACAGGGGATGATTCGGGTAATAAAGTTGAAGGCTCACCTAGTTGGCAGTCGTACATTGTGAACAAAAAGAGTTCAAAGGACACCGACAAAAGATCATGCACGACAGGACAAACGCTGACTCGCAACCACTCGTTTTTTTTTACAGAATCAAGAAAGAAAACATGCAATGCACACATTCACACGCGCATCTTCCACCCATGATAGCTGCTCACTACGGCACGCACTGGCGCATCATGGTCATTTTCAGGAACTCCAGCTTGTTCCTAGACAATGCAACTGACGTCACACTTATACGCTTGTCTCCCCCACTGTGGTGTGACATGCCTCCAGCACTTCGCGTGTCACCTTGTCTATGTGTGGTCCTAAAATGGCGGTAAAACCAAATGACGGTTTGTACAGGTACGCTTTACAGTGAACCGGCAGGTGTACTCTCACAGTGGCTCCTAGAGCGTACCTGTGTTTTCGGAGTTTGTCGTTCAAGCAGCGTCACGTCTGCCCAACCTTAGAGCAGCCACCTGAGAGTGGAATCCTATACTCTACACCCATAGCACATGTAACCAATGGATTAGCGTCTTTTTACAGCACTTGTTCCCTGCAGAGTGTCGAACCGGAACCGAACCGAACCGAAAACCGGAACCAAACCGTTATTTTTAGCCGAACCGGAGCTGAACCGAACCGAAATATTCGCCGCCATCTTGGAACTGAACCGGAAAAAATATAACGGTAACCGGTTCAAAACGGTTCACGGTAAGTGTCTTCTTTTTTATTAGAAAATGTGTGTTTTAGAAGTAAAAATTGGCAGCTGTATTTCTATGTAGTGATCAAATAGTCATATAACGAATTGCAATGTATGAAAAAATGCGGGTTTTCGTGGCGCTTTTGTATTGGCACTACGATTAATCATGTGTCACGTGGTCACGTGACGTGATGGTGTCAAAATATGCTGCCATACAATGTCACGTCACGTGGCCATGTGACGTAGTCGCGTGACTCACCGCGTTAAGTCTACTTAAATTGAGTACGTCACTATAGTCCGTTTCAACTCAAGAAGGTAGGGCAAGGGAAAGGAAAGCCGGGGAGGAGGAAGCAGGCGGAACGCTGGAGAGAGGTGGAGGTTTCCCCCTTTCTTCTCCAGCGTTCCGTCTGCTTCTTTCTCCCGGCCTTCCTTACCCTCGCGCTACCTTCTTGAGTTGCAACGGACTATGGATGTATTAGCGTTGTTGACACCGTGAAGTCACATGCCACCACCTTTTCTCACCGCGAGTCACGTGACATCGTGACGTACTTCATTGTCATGAGCCCGAGTCGAGTGCTCGGGTTCTTGACAACCAGCATCGCCAAACATTCGTGTTGGCTCGTGGTCAATCAAAGATAAGATTAGCTAACTTTAACAGCGGCGGTATACAATTAGCGCCAGATCACATCTCCGCTTGTTCTAATAGCGAGTTGAGGAGGGGAAAGCTATTTCTTTCTTTGATTTTTTCTGCGTCTGCCATTGAGCGGAGAGAGAAAATGAAAGTCGGCTTACAACTCCCTGTAACGCCGAATTAGAGCGCAGCTCTTGAGGAGGAGGAGGGAAGGGTGCTAGGGGAACGTATACCCCTCCTCTCCTCCTCACCTCGTCATCCTGCCTGCTACCCCTCCCTCCGAGCGGCGTCGCCGTCCCTCGTGACCCCACGGGGTCACGTGACCTCACGGGTGTCACGTGACCTCACCTGGGTCACGTGACCTCACCTGGGTCACGTGACGTCACCGGGATTACGTGACCTCAAGGGTGTCACGTAATGTCATCGTGACGACGTCATCGTCATCGTCACTGATGCCGTGATCAGTGGCGTCAACAGTGACGTCACGCGTCCCATAATGCACGGCGCAGTTATGCCGACGGCGACGACGACGACGACGGTGACAGCGACGCCGCTCAAGCCGGAAACGGGCGCCTAAGAGCTGCGCTCTAAAACTAATTGGTGTTTTTGCAAGCTATCGACGTTAGGGATTAGCTTTTAGTGGTATTTACTGAAAGTACAAAAATTGTTGCATGAACCATTTTATATGTACACATCATTCAGGCAGCCAAACCTGTTTTCGTTGTTGCTGAGCTGTCCCATGAAGGTTGACCCTGAAAATAGAAGCATTCAAAGGACTAAATATGGCTTATTAATCGGAC